CGTCAGGAGCTTCTTGAAAGAGCTCAGCGCCGCGTTCGGCAATCCAACACTAAGCGTCAGATGTATGCAGGAACGTCATGGGCAAGTGATATCACGAATGGGGTTACTACAGTCCCAAAGAAATCAACAGAATCAACTCAGACCGACTCATCCGAGTCTGCTGAGCCATAAAAAAAAACACTGATTGATGGATACTCCCAAACAAACCCTGAGATCTCAACACCCCAGGTGGATTCACAGTCGCAGACTGACGGCTTCGCCTCACGTCTGAGCGACAGCTCAACTCCAAATGTTCGCCCTGTGATGATCGATGTTGGAGTTGATAGCGGCGTGCAGATGGTAGATAGCTCAATTAATACTGATCGTGTTAATCAAACTGATAGAAATATTCAAGCGAGACCTCAAACATCTGATGTTGGTATCGATAACACACAGCAAACAGCTGATGTTGGAATCGACAATACTCCAAAAATGTTAGATGCTGAAACAAACATGAAAAACATGAAAAACATGGATACCGAAGATCAAGTGGAGGCGCGATCATGGATTAAGAAATTGTTTACCGCCAATCCTAATTGGGTAGCGCTTCGAATTAAGCCAATTAAGCGTAAAACTGGTAAGGATGACAATAGATACTTTCTTGGTGAAAAGGGGTCATTAATTGCAGCCAAAACGGGTAGAAAGAGTAAGACTTATCAATCGATTGACTGGGTGGCTACAGAGGAGAAGATTAGGGGCATCTGGTATGATGGCGAAAGTAAATCAATCGATGAGAGCAGTTATATGAGACTTGAAGACCCTCTTTATCACGTTTCACTAACGCGAAAACGAAAAATCGCCGATCCAAGTGAAGGTGATGATGCATTCCGTTCAAAGCAGCGTCTTGAAGATAGTTTTGAGTTGGACACATCGACTTCAACCTCATTAGACCAAGTTGATAGTAAGAATCGATTGCTTTGGTCTATTTTCAAGAATAAAGCAGTGCTTGAGTCGGCTGGTTTGAAAAAGAAAATCATTCCTATCCTCCAGAGCATGAGTAAAACATCTCAGGTGGATAGAACTGGATACGTGTGGATTGATGGTTCATCAATTAGTGTATTTGGTATTGATAGTGAAAGAGTCAAGCCAGCGATTACTAAAAAAAGTCGATTGGAGATCTACATTCCAAGAATTTATTGATTTCGTCAAAGATCGTGGCGATATCGATCTATTTACTAACGAAGACACCACCAAACTTGCAAAAGCCTTTGAGCCACGCGATGGTGAGGCTCGGCATGGAATTAAGATTGGAATTGATGAAGATATGAATAGTTCTCTAACTAATGCTGATAACGATGCGAAGAAGATTCTCATGGACTACTACAGCAAAATAGCATCTGAAGGAGTTCGAATTCCCTTTAGACTGAAACCAATAGTAGATACCAAAAGTGGTGTGAAAGCTAATCAAAATTACTACTTTAGTGAGCCTACCGCAGCAAAACCATTTTACATTAGAAACCACGAAAACAAAGCGGTTTCTGGCAAGGTTTTCAACGATCTTATGAAAACCATTAGATGGATGGATACTCTCAATAGCATGATGACCGGGTTTGAAGACATAGAGCGATACGTCTATGAGAATGATGATCCAGCATTGAAAAAAAATCTCGTAGTTAATCTTCAGCTATTGAATCGAGCGATCCTCGACAATACAAAATCGACAGATACATCAGCTCGAATCAAATCCTCAGAGGGTACTCAATATCGCGATGACACTTTGCAAAAACTCCACGATGAGTCAGAAGCCGCATTCCAAAAGTATGGCGAAGCTCAGAGGAAATACGATGAGGCGAAGCGAACAGTAAAGGGTAATAACTCAAAATCCGCAAGATCAGCGTTGAAGGCGGCAACCGCTGCCATGAAAGCGACCAAGGCTGTCTATCAAATCAAGGCTAAAAGCTACTCCGATGCTAAAAACTACACCGAGGTTGATCAATTCAGTGATCGACAAGACGAGCGCACGGTTCGCCAAACTGTGAATAACATGGTTGATCGAGTGGGGTCAGGGGCTAAGAGGAATCTTCAGGGTCGTGGGTTAAGAGGTGCTGGCGTCGCCCCGCTTGAAGGAGTTGTCCGTCGCGGGAGAACATACAACCTCAATGAGATTCAAGGTTTGGCCACTCCATCGGCATACATCTACCGTCAGCTGGGTAGTAAGTATATCAGAATTCCTGATCTTGATAACAGAACCCTTGTGATTGTTCAACCCAATCGCCGAAAATGCGGACCCAAATGTCAAATCAGTGATAGTCTACAATCAATGATCCGAACTCTTGTGTATAAGAATCATATCGATCAAGCTTCATATGACAAGCTCAGTATCGATGATAGAAAACTGTTCAAAGAGATCCTTGCGATTACACATCTTCAGTATAACTTCCATGACCACCTTGAGGATCCGTTAGACTCTCTAAGAGCTGAATATGACAAGCTGAAAGGAGAGCTTGAATTAGGCAATGATAATCCTTCAATCATCAAGCAACTGAAATCGCTTAGTGTGGATATGTACTCCAATCGTTTAATTTCGGATTCTGAGTTCAAGGATATTATCGTCCGATTGATATAGAGCAGAGCTTAGAGAACTTGTTCTCAGATCTGCGATCCTTCGAACTTCGTTCTAATAGAGATGTTCTTTTTCAATCCCCGAATTATTTCCAGCTCAGGTGGTAGATATGGCGACAACGCTGATCTCAACGTCGCAGAGCTAAAAGCCATCATGAAAAATCTTATCATCCATGACCGCCCTCAAAAGACCCAGGCAGCTGTTTGGGCAACGGATCTTGACAAGACGCTCAAGAAAACGGATGCGTCAACCCAGACGGAAGGAGGGAAAGTATGGGCATACTCAACTAAAAAAAATCGAAGTCTGTAAAGACGTTTGCTATCTAAGCAATACCAGATCTAACAGCTTTATTCGCCATTCCGCGATATATACTAATTTTTTTCTCTCCAACATGTATTTCCATGATAGCATCTTCCCCCGTCTTCGCATCTCTGATAGGAACGAATGCACTATCTCCGAGAGCTACGATCTGATCAGCGCGCATGAATGTAGAAGCAATTGCCTGAGTAGGTTCATCAGCAGTTAAATTCGATTTAAGATCTTTGCTTGGTACGCAACCCATTTCTTGTATATTATTACCAAAGAAACTTCTTAGCATAGAAATCCGCTGATGGTTCTGGGTAATCAACTTTGTGTCTAAGGTAGTATCGATGACGTCTCTCCTCATCATTATGATCAAGATGACTAAAAGCCTTCAGAGGCGTTTGATCCCGATATTGGGCGTATCCACGAGCCCCGAAATCAACCTTGCGCAACTTTCCCGTATCAAGACGTACCCATACTCGATACTTCTTGCTCTTCAAAGGGCTTAACTCCCAGCGCTCAATCCTCATGACTCTATATTAGCCAAACGACCTTTTAATCTATCTATCTCACCCAAAAGATACTGAATCATCTGCATATTATAAGCCGATATTCGACTGTAATCAACGTTGAGCTGTTGCTTAGCTGGTTCAAGGCTTGGGTCTTCTCCCCCTTCAATATCATCTCTGTAAAAGATCGATATCAAATCAGTTAGATGGGCTGAGACCAAATCCTGAGCTATGAGACCGATTTCTTGTCCAGGCTTGTTTTCCGACTCGATCCAGTCATAGAGCTTGACCTCACAGCTATCGTAGAGCCGCTTCACACGATCAATTGGGCATGATTGAATATTCTTTTTAAGGCGTCGATCCGACGTCATCGCCATGGCTGTACTGGCAATGTATCCTCCGAATATACCCGCTACTGAATATGTGATCGGGCCAAGAGCGGATTCTGTAGCTCCACTATCTGTTCTGAGGCGATACACTGTCGTTCCGCCTGCTCCAAATACAAAACTGTTGCTGCCAGGGACGTGCAGCGGAGCTGAAGGACTTGTAGTACCAAGACCAAGACGACCTGTGGTAGTTAAAATCATCGACGTCGAGTTATTGACCCCAAATCTGAGGTCGTTGTTTGTGATGTTCCCGATCCATGACGCGTTCGCTGTGGTTGATCGATTGCCATTATGGACTTGGATCTGGAATTGAACAGGAGTCGTATTCGACCCGGTTAGAGTCATCATTCGTGTGTAAGAACCATCAAGAAAGTCCAATCCACTACCAGTGATCGAGAAATATTCATTCGTTGCTGTAGAGTTGATCCCAAGCTCTGTCAGCGATCCTACTGTTGTTATAGCTGATTGGTTTCCATACGCTAAAAACCCATTGATAACGCCGGAGCAGCTGATATCCCCACTCGCTGACAGATTATTGAGCGAGAGGGAAGTCGGAATAGATGTTAAAAAGCTTGATAGGTCATAATACGTCGAGCCCTGGCGCAAGTTCGTGCAAGTCAGAGTAGTAGCCGTTACCGAACTTAGGCCTCCGATATTCGAGCTTGAGTCGCATAATAGGAATTTATTTGGCGTTGCGGTACCAAAACTAACTCCGTTTATGTATTCAAGAAGGCCCAAATCGTATATAGTCCCGTTCTGGCGATATTCTCGACAATCGATGTAGCTTGAAGTGCCTGTTATCGATATCGAGCGCGATGACCCACTGAACGATAAATTTCCACCGATCGTAAGACCTGATAAAGAGCCGAGAGACGTTATATTTGGTTGGGATCCGGTTTGTAGCGTTCCAGTAATAGTAGAAGCTCCAAAGCTATTAATTCCGCTGATATTGCCGGACGAATCGAGAATTAAAGTTTTGCTGTACGAAGCAGTTCCCGCTATTACTCCGCTAAGGTAGCCCATCCTGTAATCATCCTTGCTCAAATATAGTGTTTGCGCATAATCGTATGTTAGATAACCACTCGAGTCTAACGAAAGATAGAATGAAGGATTATAAATGGATGATTGAAATGTAGGCTGTGGATATGAAAAACCGGAACTCATTTTGTTTAATCCTATATAGATCAAACGATTTTAGTCATGAGTGCTATTCCTGACTTCGGGGCTTCGATTCCGAAAAAATTCAAGTCTGCTTCGATGGGTGATATCCCCGCATTGGATATGAAAGCTTTGTTTAGAATGGTTGTGCTCGGTCCAAGCTTTTCAGGAAAGAACAATCTTTGTATGTTTATTCTCAAGCATTCTCCTCACGTATTTGCTCATCTAACTATCATTGCTCGTAATCCCCATCAGGAGCTTTATGAGTATCTCCGGGAAAAGTTGGAAGGATTCATCACATTTGCTGACCCAGATAGCCCTCCTAAAGTAGATCAGGTGCGTCATACTCCATTAAGCTCTAACAAACCGGAGCTTGTTATCATTGATGACTATAGCAATGATAAACTACTTCAGAAGAATATCTTCTCTCATTACTATACACGTGGGCGACACTTTAAACTCTCAACCATATTCCTAAGCCACAGCTACTTTGCTACTGATAAGATGATTCGGTTGAATTCAGAGTACGTAGCGATTCTAAAAGCGAATTCGAAGCGTGATTTACAGATGGTTGTAAAGGATTTTAACATCAAAGGCGTTGATGAACGATCAATCGTCTATTACTACAATAAAGCCACGGAGCGCAAAGGACAGATGCTGTTCGTGGATTCAGTCAAAGGTCAAATCAGATACAACTTTGATCGACCGATAGATATTGAGCAATAACTTTAGAATATTTTTTTGGGTGAATCAATATACATATACCATGGCAAGTTTTGTTAAACTCGATTCCACTAACCTCGTTCAAGACAATTATAACAGCACATGGAAATACAGCTTTCCTGGTAGTGCTGCCGATTTTAAGGATGTGGTATGCGCGGTTCAATCGATTTCGATGTATAACTCTGAATACAACATCGATGCAACTCAGTTCCTGAATAACTCCTTCAAAATCGAAGTTCCGACAGCTGGAACCACATCCACTGTATCTGTTATCCTCCCTGATGGACTTTACAGCTATACCGATATTAATCGAAGCATTCAGACGGCTCTCGTAAATGCTGGAGCGTATTTAATTAATCCATCTGGTGAGAACGTTTTCTATATTCAACTAACGGAAAACAGTGTGTATTATGCTGCTCAATTCGATTTTAGCGCTACTCCAACGACACTTCCTACAGCTGGTGGCACTTGGACACGACCAGCAAGTGGTCTTTATTCGTCAGGCGGTACTGGTTTGCCAACAACAACGCGTGTCCCTCGCATCATCATTGATAACGCCTCTTTTGGTAAAGTAGTAGGATTGACTGCTGGTACGTATCCTTCAGCGTCTGCAACGGTTTCAAGTGCTCAGCTGTCAAATATCATTCCTCAGATTCACCCAACCTCGAGCTACATCGTTCGATGCGACCTGATCAAAAACGAGTATGTTGCCTCTGGTGATATCCTTAGTGTGTTTGACCGTGGTGATGCTGAAGTTGGACAACTAATCAGCTATAAGCCGAGTCAGTATGCTTGGATGAACTGTCATAACGGCGCGAGAACGTCTATTACGATCAGTATCTATAATCAAAACGATCAAAAGGTTAAGTTCCGTGATACTTCTGTCTCGATCATGTTGTTGCTGAGGCCAAAAAAATAAGCATTCAATGATTTTTTTCTCCCAATCCGCAGAATAGGGTGGAACTAATTTAATCGAAAAGAGCCAGCAATCATTGCTTTCTTACGTTTAGCACGGAGTGCAGCCATCTTAGCCTTCATTTCGGGCGAACCTTTAGCTGGTTTCTTAGGGACTCCTACACCATAGCGTCTCTTTACCTCACCTCGAACCGATTTGATCAGGTTCTCATGCTCTGGCTTGGTTGCTTTTGATAGTAGAAACTTCTCGCCTGCATCGACTGCATCAGTTAGAATCCCCTTACGTTTAGCATACCCGAGAGCATTTTTCGCCGCCTTCTTAACATCCGCTACCGAAATACGACCACCTTCTTTCTCTACATCACTGTCAGAGTCATATACTCCAACTCCTGTCAATGACTTAATAGCCGCCCTTGCGGGCATTCCTGCTTGAGGGGCTCCAAATGCTGTAGCAATAGCAGGCACTGCCGCATCCAGACCCTTGCTGAGCAAACCACTATCTTTTACGAATTTGAATGCTGTCGATAACCCCGATTTGATTTTACTCCAAATGGATCCTCCTTGGAGCTTCTTGTACCCTTTCTTAATCTCATGGCGTGTGATGTCAAGTCTAACACCACGACCGACCTTGCGAGCCTTTAGTGCTTTCTCATATGAAGCTGGGTGGAGGTGGATAACAGAGTCTGAACCCTTGAGTTGGCTTGCAGTAAGACTTAGCTTACCTGTCTTGAGGGCTTTAGTCAGCTTGGCGACTGGAACATCGCTGGAAATCGTCAATTCGCGATACATTATTGCTATATTCCCTGAAACATATTTAATACAGAATTGACAAATTCAGATCTTTGAATCGATTCAAAAGATTCATCTTATTTTTTTGCTTGCAATATAACCAAAGCATGCACCATATTCCGCAATAGTCCCCATAAGTGCCTTGATATTGTTTGGTATTATATCGCCCGATGCCATACTTGGTTGGAGCTGCCTCTCCCATACTATCAAAGAATTCTCCATCATGAACAGCCTGCCAGTGTCCTACATCCATGTTGGGTTGTCGTAGCAAGATCAGATATGATCCTTTCTTCGGAAGCGGCTTTGTGATCTCGTTTGACTCAAATATATCATCGAGATGAACCCCAATACGCTTGGCAAGTTCAATTAGATCATGATCGGATGTAATAGGCTTGACGAATTCCATAATAATTATTTTTGAGAAAGTATATTACATGCCATATAGAATCTCAACGATGTCTGAAACACAACTTTCCGACCAATACCTTTACCAGAGCTCGCTCAAGAGTGATCCGGAGATTAAGGTCTCCTCTGGCAAGCGCGTGCCTTTTGTTATCGATCTTAACCAGGGCTCATACCAAAACGGTGTTATTACTATCGATGCTACATCCCAGCTTAATGGAAGTGAAGGATTCGCTTCGCTCCGCGATGCATATATCATGCTCCCATACAAGGTTTCGATGAAGAACACGCACGCTACTCTTACTACGGCTGCGGCTAACCGTTTTTGCGTTTCGCTGAAGTGCGGCAACTGGAACGTTATTGATTCGATGTCCTTGGAGCTAAATGGTAAGACTATCGTTTCTATGGCTGACTATAAGCTTTTCTGGAACAATATTCGTGCTCAGACCGGGTACAGCCCTCAGTATGTTGAGAAGCATGGAGCTGAATCTTTCCTATATCCGGATGCTGCTCAATCAACCAAGTACAGTGGTTCTTCCAACCCTTCTTCTAATGGAGACGGGTATTCGAATAATATGCCAATTTCGACGACCTTTAACGCCGGTGCCATTTCTGCTACGGCATCAGTAGCAAATGATGGTTTTGCTAAACGCCTTCTTTCAAATCCACCAAATGCTGGCGCTGACTCGTCTGCTACATGGCCGTCTACGGGTGCCGCATCTGCTACCACTACCATTGCTAATCAGCTTGGACGTGGTGCGTTCGTAGCAGGTGCGGGTACAGCTGGTGCTATTATGGGTACATGGAACTATATGCTCAAAATCAAACTCGTTGATTTACATCCGATCTTCAAAGAGCTTGATCTTATGGCTAATCCTCAAATTCGTCTTCGTTTTCGCGTTAACCAGGGTACTGCTGCTATTGATATTGATAGTTCTACTAGAATGACGCTAACGAGTACTACTCTATCAAGTGGTAATACCTGTCCAGTAATGGTTGCTTCTGCGACTTCTCCAGCCCCTATGTACACTGTCATTGGTGGTACTGGATCCATTGCTGTTTCGTGGGGTGCTGTCGTCAATGCGCTTGAGCCTACAATTGATGGCACGTACATGCCTTTCACAACTTCTAGACTGTATGTCCCGTTTGTTCACCTTGAAAATCCGCAGGCTATCATCTCGAAGCCAGTAAAGAAGGTCCGCTACAACGACTGTTATGCACAGTGGTTTTACCAGCGCGCAGGTATTGGCAAGCAATCGACTCAGCTTAATGCTTCTTTCGATCTACAGCTATCCGCATCTGTTAAGAACGCTAAGTACGTTATCCTTCTCCCCTTTGCTGAACAAACTGGAAATTTTGCTTCAGCAGCTGTTCAGCAATTTCAGAGTCCATTTGATAGCGCTCCTTGGACTCTTCAGCCTGGTTCGAGCATTCGCAACTTCAATGTCCGTATCGGTTCGACTCAGTGCTTCGATATCAGCCACGATTATGACTTCCATCAGTTCACTAATGAGGTCGCTAAAATTGGCTCGATTAATGGTGATCTGACCCCCGAGCTCGTGAATGGACTTCTTGACTATCAGACTTGGTCGCTAACGAACCGTGTCCTAATTGCTGATGTAAGTCGTCTAACCGAACGTGATGTTCCGCAGGCCATTCAGATCCAGGGCACAAACGCTGGTTGCCAGGGAACAAACATGCTTGTATTGGTTGTAAGCGAGCAGGAACTAAGCTATGATCGCCTCACAGGCGAAATTTTAGAATTCTCAACCGCGTAGGTTCTCGATACCATTTGGTTGAACAAAAAAAATATTTTTTATCGCTTAATTAAGTTCCTGGAGTAGCTTAGGACACTTTTCAATAACGAATTCACTCTTTCGAAGCCAATCAATGTAGTTAGGGTCCATACGACTGATCTGCTTAAGCGTCTTCCCCTTGTACTTGCCCCAACTCATCATATACGAATTATCATCGCTTAAAAACTTGGAGTGAAGGAAAACCTTGATATCCTCAGCAATATTGAGACTGGGTTGGTTGTGCATCCATCGACAATACCCGGGATCAGAAGCATATACTTCTTCGATCGGTGTGCCCTTGTATTTTCCAAAAGTTAGTTCGCTCGACATGGTATTATTTATGTGTATCTATATACATAGGGTCCTAATTTTTTTGAGAAAAATAAATTAATTCTGAAATTCAGACAAAACCTGTTCTCAGTGCTCGAGCGGATCTGAAACCACCCTAAGATCCAAAAGACGTTTCTAACGCCCTCAGGTGGTCGAGCGGTTGCGTCGTCAAAATAGCAGCTGCCTCGAAAGAACGTTCCAGGACTGGTCTCGCAGGTAAATTACGGAAAGTAAAAAAACTGCCGGCGTAATGTTCCATGACCCACTACTGTCGTTGAGTTCGCTGCCGCTGTACAATACCTCAGAGTTGGGAAATCGGAACAAGGTGCCCCTAGGCAAAGCTCAGGCGTCTGTTCTGATGGGAACGTCGAAGAAAACTGCGTCGAACTTGGCCCTTGATCCATCTGGTGTATCTGGAATGTCGAGCGAGTCATGATGTCTCAGACGTAGTCCTCGCGGAACAGCTCGTCTGGATCGTCGATGTGGTCTCATGAGCAAGGAACACACATACTGTATGTGGACTACCATCCGAGGGTGATGACTGCTCAAGCACTTCTGGATTCACTCCAGGTGCGGCTAACATGGGTTTCTACGTCGAACAGACTAACCACTTCTGCCCCAATGGCTATGCCTGGCTGACGACTTAGTCAACTCGGCTGACAACTCAGCCGACTTGGCAAACGGTTTTGGCAACACAGCCGATGATTGTGCTGACTCAGCTGACGATAGTCGATTTAGGAGACGACTCGGCCAAACTGAATGACTACTCTTCCGACTTCGCTGGCGCTCTATCCTACCCCACTGACGATAGCATCGGCATGGATGACGGGCAGGTCTACCTGGCTGACGATGATATTAAGCTAGCCGGTGCGAGCACCAACCTGGCGGATGTTGGAGCACACCAAGGTAGTTAGTCATGGATGGTGAGCTCAAGACTGCGACAATTGAGAACGCTGTTTCAGCGTCTGGAGAAAAACCGAGTGGTCCAAAGAATCGCTCCTTGTTGTCCCCAGATTGTGTGTCAGATGAGACGCCAACGGATCGGACAGTTTGCTAAAATGCAAAATTCGCTTGAATTGCCCATAATCCGCTCGAATTTGGGCTTGCAGTATGCATCCAAAACGTGGCATTTTCGACGTTTATACAGGCCAAAAATGACGCTTTTTGCGAAGAAAATAATAAAACATGACTGCATTTTCGACCATGCCTGTGTTTATTTCTTCTACAGTGATGGTGTTCGTCGCTGACGTTCAGATAAAATAAAGATGAAAATTGCAAATATTGACTCATGTTATTTTGTAGGGAAGCTTAGCTGCTTTTGTATTGTGCAGTAGAGCTGAGCTGAGCAGAGGCGGAATGACACGTACTGCTAAAAGAGATGCGGAGAGTAGTGATGCAGTCATATCTGTAAATCCGTGAAAAAGGTCACTTCAATGACCATCACTCACATAACAATGACATTCACAAAATCTACGTTCAACACACCATTTCAATTTCAACTCTTTTCCCGCCAATCACTTTTCATTCCGCATCCCATAACCATGGCTACTCGCGTAACACAGGAGCTGCTGGGCGAGCTGCAGCATTCACCCGAGCGTATCCGCAACATCTGCATCTTGGCGCATGTGGACCACGGCAAGACAACGCTCAGCGACAGCCTCGTGTCGGCCAACGGGATCATCTCGGAGCGACTCGCAGGCAAGGTAAACAAATGTGTAAACTGTATCCCAAGTGTACCCCCTAAAAGTTCCCCATATGGTAACAAACCTGTAACAGGTGCGATATCTGGACAACACGGAGGAGGAGCAAGTCCGCGGCATTACTATGAAGTCCAGCGCCATCTCCTTAGTGTACCAGCCTGAACCCATAGCCGACAAGGAGCCGGAAGCGCCGTATCTTATCAATCTCGTTGACTCCCCAGGCCATGTGGACTTTTCGTTCGATGTATCCACCGCAGTTCGACTCTGCGACGGCGCTTTGGTGCTTATTGATGCTGTAGAAGGACTCTGCGCCCAAACTCACGCCGTGATTCGTCAAGCTTGGAAGGAAGGGATCCGTCCGTGTCTTGTGATTAACAAGATGGATCGACTCATCTTCGAGCTGCAGTTTTCACCCATGGAGGCATATCAGAGACTCAACCGTATCCTTGAACAGGCCAATGCTGTACTGAGTTCCATGATTAGGATGGATGTATTGGAAAAATACGATCAGGAAGCTTCATCTGAAGACCAGAAGAACAGTACAGACGACACTGAGGCAGTAGATGCCGATAAGATCGAGATTACACTCGATGACGAAGCCATTTCCAAGGAGACGGAGCAATTGGAGAACGAAATGCTCTTCTCGCCGTCGAACGGTAACGTTATCTTTGCTAGTGCTACAGACGGATGGGCTTTTGGTATCGGATACTTTGCAGCACTGTACGCAAAGAAGTTAGAGCTGCCGGTGCGTGTAATGCGTCAGGCACTGTGGGGGGAGTACTATTACAACGGCAAGTCGAAGAAGATCGTGAGTAAACCGCCCACTTCGAACAGCCAGACGATGTTCTGCTCGTTTATTCTCGAGTTGATCTGGACGACCTACACGGCGATGGCGAAGCCTGTGCTGTCAGACGCGGACTTGGAGGCTCTGCGTAAACTCACGCGACAGCTTCGTGTAGCAAAATTGGTTACGGATCGGGATCTGAAGCAGACGGATCGGAAGAATGCAACCCAAGCAGTTATGCGGAAGTGGTTGCCTTTGTCTACGACGGTGCTGAAGATGGTAACACGCGTTCTGCCGAGTCCTGTGTCTGCTCAGGTAAAGCGGGCCGACAAATTGTGCACGATCTCGCCGGAGCTCGAAAAATCACCACAGCACACTCAAGTCTTCCGTTCGCTGCAATCATGTCAGACTTCGGATGACGCGCCGTTGGTAATTTACATTTGCAAGGTGATCTCAGTGGAAGCGAACGTGTTATCCGATTATCATCAGTCTGGACTGGCTGCCACTGACGAGGTCTATGTCGGCGTGGGTCGTGTCTACTCAGGCGTCCTTAGAGAAGGCCAGCCTGTCTACGTGATGGACCCGAAGTTCCAGGGCGTGACGGGAGATGTGGATGCAATCGACTTGAATACGGTGAAACATGTTGCACGTATTGACAGCGGGCTGGTTAAACCTTACATGATGATGGGACGCGATCTGCACAAACTGGGCCGTGTGCCTGCAGGCAATATCGTCGGTATTGTCGGACTACAGGAACATGTTTTGAAGACAGCTACGCTGTCATCCACACTGGCGTGTCCTTCATTAACGAAGATGCCATACCAAGCAAAGCCGATTGTCCGCGTGGCAGTGGAACCTGAAGATCCGCGTAACTTTGGAGCGCTGGAAGCTGGTCTACAGCGACTGTATCGATCTGATCCGACTGTCGAAGTCCACGTGCAGGAGACTGGAGAACACGTCATTGTGGCACTGGGAGAGCTTCACTTGGAACGCTGTATTAAGGACTTGAAGGAACGCTTTGCTAAAGTCGCTGTTCAAGTCTCCGAGCCATTGGTGGGTTTCCGTGAGAGTGTTGTCGACGGAACGATCTCTTCGTTCCAGGAGAACATCGTGTTCAAGGACCTTCTCAACCCCGACTCGACTAAGGATGAAGCTTCTGACAAAGACGAGAACGCTGATGTTCAAGACCCGAAGATTGCGTTGGGAACGACTCCGGATGGGACGCTGACACTGAAGTTGCGAGCACTTCCGTTGCCTCTTGAGACGGCAAAGCTCTTGGAAGAAAGTGCACCGTTTCTAAAGCGTATCACGCACAACAAGAAGTCCACTGATGAGATCGATACGAAGGAAGCAGACGCGGATATTGAGGCTGCTGCAGAGGATGTAGCTGCATTCAAGAAGAAGCTGGAGAAATCTCTTCAAACGAGTGACAACAGCTTTTTGAAGTCGTTGCCGTTGCACCAGATTTGGAGCTGTGGTCCACGACGAGTGGGTCCAAACATGTTGATCAACAACATCCCAGGTTACCATTCAACAGGCTATCTATTCCCACCTACCTCAGCTGCAGAGGTCCAGGACTCAGAGAAAGCAGAGCAGATCCGAAAGTTGGAGAACAGCGTTGTGACGGGCTTCCAAATGGCCTCGTCGGCTGGACCTTTGTGTGATGAGCCTGTGTGGGGAGTCGCCTTTATCGTCGAAGATGTCGTGTTCCACGAGAAGAGCGAGGAGGACAAATCGGAAGAGGAAAAGGCCGAGGCGAGCAAATACGGACCGCTTAGCGGACAGGTAATCTCCATTATGCGGACAACTTGCCTCATGTCGTTTGTGAAGCAGCCTGTGCGGTTGGTAGAGGCTGTGTACGAGTGCACAGTGCAGTGTCAGGCAGAACAACTCGGCAAGCTTTACAGCGTCATCTCTAAGCGACGTGGCGATATCTACTCCGAGGAGCTCTCCGATGGAACAGCACTATTCACCGTGAAGGCTCACTTACCCGTTGTAGAAAGCTTCGGCTTCGCCACAGACCTGCTGATCCAGACGTCAGGGGCTGCTAGCAACCCACAATTGATTTTCTCGCACTGGAGCATCATCGATATGGACCCTTTCTTCCAGCCGCAAACAGAAGAGGAGCGTGAGGACTATGGCGAACGCGTGTACGAACACAACTACGTTAGACGTTACATTGAGGCGGTACGTAAGCGCAAGGGACTGTCTCGAGATGAAAAAATTGTCGTGCACGCCGAAAAACAGCGCACACTAAAAAGATAGAGCGTGTGCCGGATGAAACGGGATAGTAATAATATTAACCCGTTTGTTCCGACTTGAAACGGATAGGTATGAGCAGGCAACAAGCTGGTAGGTGATCCAATTTTATCAGTGTTGAAGGTGGACTGATGCAATTCAAGCGCTATATTAGCTGCCTCTTTATCGCGATTTTTTTGTATGAACAGCGCGATTTGCCGACATGCCCCCCGTTCGGGTAAGTCCGACTCGTGGAGATGGCACTCGAGCGCTGGTGGCTTTGTCCAAGTGGGCTTCGCGCCATGCAGAGAAGCACTCGATGAGCTGGAAGAAGGTGATCACTCCTGCTGCTCTCATTGAGAAGACCCATGTCCGTCAACTGGCAGCTCGTGAAAAAGTGTTCGAGCGGCATCTCCCGTTCTCCTGGCCGCGATTTTTTATCGGAGCTGTGTCACTTGCTCTCGTTTTCTCTGATGTTTTGCGATCGGGTGTGGGCGTGTCGAATCTCCAAGAAGTGTATCCCTCTCTGCAGCCTGATGAAGTGGTAAGTTTTGACACATCGTGGAATTATTCCGTGTTTGCATCGACCAGAGATGAAGCGCTTAGTGGCAGCACAACAGCGCGCGTTTGGAGCTACAAGCACGACTCGACTTCGATCACATGGCGCGCGTTTGCACAATTCTTGTCAGCGCCAGACTTCCCTGATTGTTTCTTCTACGCTAGCCAATGCCCCGGAAATACGTTCAACGGCGACGTGGCATTTAAAATGATCGACTCTCTCGTCAACGTCGTCTCGAGGATAAACAGGACGACACAATCCGGACCTGTGGGATTGGCGCTACGCTCTGAAAGTGAGTATATCGATCGTCTTCACCAGTTTATTTTCCCCAAATGGTTCATCAACGTTAACTGGCGCACCAACCAGGCATTATACTACTCCCCGGAGCTGCTCACGACGACCAATGCTCGTACAATTTGCTTCCCGGTGTTGGGTAAACGGATCCTCCAGCCGCGATTTTGCCGCGAACTCTGGACAAATTTTGATCGATCATGCGCCCCTACGGACCTTCAAGGCAGAAGCGTTGGACTGCTGCACGTACATACCATGACACGTCTTCGTGACGTACAAAGTCGCTTTCCGAACGCAACATTGGATCTAACATTTCTAGAAAGCCAGGAAGATATGCAGATATGTCGAGGTGGACTCACGTCGCTTGGGTTTAAACGATCGGATGTCAGTGCGATCGTACGTGCTCGGAACTGCGTTGGCAGTGGAACAACACGCTCGTGCGAAACAATTTTTGTGGAGGACTATCGCTACGAAACAGGGCTCTTAACTTCCGATGTTGTCCAGTGGTATAAGGTAGTAGCGGCGCTGCGAATCATCGGACAAGGCTACTTCTTGCTTCGTGGTATCGGCTTGATGCTCAGTTGCTACTTTGTTCACGGTGTTACGAAGTCCCAGAAGAAAATGTCGACTTGGACTCGAGTACGCAAGGCTCGACATCTTTTCATGAAGGTTCCGACTCAATGTGTGGTGTTTGGTAGTCCATTTCCCGTCTCCTGCTACGTGCTGGCGCATTTATTGGACGCCCCGTTCACGTACGATGTACTCGAAAGCCACTTTTTCTCGCAGGGTGGTGTGTTGGATATCCATCTTGAGGCTTTTATTTCCTATGCAGTCGTCCAGATGCGTAACGTGTGGATATATGCATTGCTATGGCACATGGTAGTGACCGTGACGACGTCACGCTGGTTAGCGCGTAGTAATCAGTCAAGCAGCGGCATTATTGGCGTTCCGGAGTTTTTACTAAGCGCTTTCTCGAGTATCACGCTGATTGCTCAGTATCGCTCGACTTCATTTCGATCGTCTAAAATTCTGCGGATGATGGTACTACCTAACAATTTAAGCCGTGCCTGGGTGGCCACTAAGTACCAGTACAGCCTCGCACATCGAGGAAGTGGCAGCGTGTTACTTGGCGGTGTGATTATCGACCTTAAATTTCTGCTTTGTTTCGTGTTTGTCATTGCTGGAGCGTGGGCAGTTCGAGTCTTGTGGCTTAAGTGTTTGGTTACCCAGGACAGTGGACAGAGGGATCGATTTTCTCAATGGTTTATCCTAGCTCCAACTCCAGTGCCGTACTCAGCTGGAGTCCTGTGGCCTACGGTGAGCATGTGCGTTCATTGGACGAGTGATTTCTTTTGTATCCGAGACGAGGTGCAACGACGGAAGCAACTACAACTGCAAGCGTCTCATGTACACCAACGTAAGTGGAATAACGGAGACGGACGAGTAATACCGTTCACTGCCAGTTTTCAATCGAAGCAAATGGCGGCTGAAGATCTGCGAGTGCAGGTCCGCAAGTACAAATACAGCTCCCCCACTGCACGGATGAATATGAACACGTTTCGGTATATCCAGCATCAAATGAAGTGTTTACATGGGCGCTCTGACGACGTCGAAGCGAATGTAGCATTTATGAATGCAGTGCTTATGAGCGATCCCATCGTGTATCTGCGTACGCTACTCGGTCGGGATCGATCGACCGAGTTGGCTTATTATCAATCCCTCTTGCGGCCGCGTCAGGTGGTTCTTCTACCTGTGGCGGTAGTGGGCGATCACAACGAATACACTGGAAAGCTCAAGCTACTTCGACGGGTGAATGCCTCCGAGCTCACGTGGCCGGAACTTGTACAATGCGGGTGAAGATCGTACGGTTTGGAATAAGTTACGTAGGATTTGTAATCTACAACCACATTGCACTCCATGACAGGTATTCACTTTAACTAGTACTTCTCGGGCTTACCACGGTTCCTCAAACGTGCCGAA